CCAAGTGTAACATAAGGAGGGCAAATAATTGCTAAATCTAATGTCTTAATTTCTTTTTTTTGTTTTTTAGTTTTGTTTTTTTTTTTTAGTTTTGTTTTTTGTTTCCGTTCGTTCGTTTTCGTTCGTCGATGATTGTTCGTTGTCACTTTAAGCCGTACATTACGATCAACTTATCCCAGATGTTTTATTAGATGCGATGAATAAAAACATTGTCGATAATAACAATACTTGACGCATTGAATATTTATTAAATGTGATATGAAAAATATACAAATTATTGTGAAAATCAAATTCGTTCAAAAATTTGATTGTGCCTTCCACTTTGTAAGGAATATGGACAGTAATTTTTGCATTATTCAACATAATTCACCATCATCAATTGTTTTGAATGATGCAATACTTATTGTTTTTTTCAAATTTTTAACTATTGAAAATGAATTAGACTTTGTTGTAAAATTAAAATTTATTTAGCATAATATTAATTTGTTACTGTAATTGTACTATAACTTGTACTGTAATTTATGAATTACTTTAATTGTTGATACTTAAAAATTGTGGAAAAAAATTTAATAAATTTAATAATTTCATAATTAAATGTAAAAATATAATTTTGTATATAATAAAATTTATTTAGAATGAAATGATATAATAATTATTATTTATTTGATTTTTTCTATTAGATAAGTTAATGGATTTATTAGATAAATTAATGGAAATACAAGATATTAAATTTTTTTTATGGATATTATGCTGGTCATAGGAACACAAACATTATATTCTTACATGTATTATTGATCTTGATTTTAAATTTTATACAGATGTACTGGTGGTGGCTGAGATAATTAAATCTGAAAATGAAAAAAATTTAATAATATCTTGGAACGAAACTAAAGGAAAGTCAAATGTTTGCTTGTACGACAAAGATGATAATCTATTAGCAGAATGTAATAATGCAATTAATCGATATTTAGCAAGAAGTATAAATCCTACATTGTATGGTATGTAATCTTTTATATAATGTAGAAAAATCTAAAATGTCATTTAATTGTTAATAAATTGAATTTTTTTCTGATAAAAGTTAGTTTATTAAATTTAAAATATGCTTTGTTGAATATGTGATTTATATATTATTAGGTAATACTTGTCCCCGTGAAAGAACAGAAATCGACCACTGGATAACTTTCGCTTTGGTTTTGCAAAATAAAGAAAACATCAAAGATCATTTGGACAATCTGAATAACATATTAATAACACGGACATGGCTGGTTGGCAAAAATCTAACATTGGCTGACATTCATGTATTTTCCGTTTTGCAGTCTCGAGATTACATAAAATCTTATGAAAAAGATTATTGTAACATCACTAGATGGTACAATCATGTGGAATCACTTTCTGCCATTCAAAATGCAATGCTCATGATTGCGAAAAACTGTTCTCACCTTTCAAAACCAAAGAATGTGAATTCCGAAGAAGAAAAATCCATTCCTAATCAAACAAAAACAAGGAAACAGGAGGGCAAATTTATTGATCTACCTGGAGCAGAAATGGGCAAAGTAAAATTACACAATAGAATAATTACAGATGATAATTATTTAGTATGGGGGAGACAATTTCAATGACTTTGCTCATTAGAAAAATCATTAATAAAATTATATTATTTATTAATAATTTTAATAAATAATGAGTGATGGCTAAAATATTTTATTGTTACTCGGGGATGAATTTGACAATATACATTAAGATCAAAATTATTAGAGTTAACAACCCTATACAATTACCAAGTAGATTTGATCTATAAGCTCTTATAAAATTTTCATCTTATTTTCTATAGGTAGTAGTACGATTCCCCCCAGAAGCAAGTGGCTACCTGCACATTGGTCATGCCAAAGCAGCTCTCTTAAATCAGTATTATGCCGAGTCTTTTAAAGGAATACTTGTTATGAGATTTGATGACACAAATCCAGCGAAAGAAACTGTAGAATTTGAAGAAGCTATACTGGAAGATCTAAAATTACTACAAATTAAGCCCGATCGTTTTACGCATACTTCGGATTATTTTGAAGTATTACTAAAGTATTGCAATGAATTAATTATGAATGGAAAAGCATATGTGGATGGTACACCAGCGAATATTATGAAAGAAGAACGTGATCAACGAATAAAGTCTAAATATAGAGATAACTGTAAATAACATTTTGAAAAAAAATGTATATTTTCTATTTCAATCGGTTGCAATTTATTCTACTTTTGCAGCCATTGAAGAAAATCAGAAATTATGGCAAAAAATGATACAAGGTACCGAAGAAGGACAACGGTATTGTGTCAGAGCGAAAATTGATTATCAATCAACGAACGGATGCATGCGTGATCCAACAATTTATCGTTGCAAGCCAGAATCTCATCCACGTACTGGAAATAAATACAAGTATTTATATCTCAACATTTTAATAAAATTTATTTTTTATACGTTTTAATTACTAATTTTTATTTGAAATATTTAAATAATTATAATTAAAAAATTTAATATTGCTTTATTAATTTCAATAAACTCATTAATTAATTTATACATTATTAGTAATATATATAAATTTAATAATCTTAATATTAAAATCTTGCTGTTAATAATCTTGCTGTTTAATATAGACATTAATATGAATTGTGTAAACGATTTGATTGTCTAAAAATCATAACTTTATTACAGAATTTTACTGTTTTTGTTTCTACTAGAGTATATCCTACATATGATTTCGCTTGTCCGATTGTCGATTCTATTGAGAACATCACTCACACTTTGCGCACAACGGAGTATCATGATAGAGACGTTCAATTTTATTGGATTCTCGATGCTCTGGGATTACGTCGTCCATATATATGGGAATATTCACGATTAAACATGACTTACACTGTTCTGTCTAAGCGCAAATTAACTTGGTTCGTAAATGAAGGTTTGGTCGATGGATGGGACGATCCACGTTTTCCGACAGTGCGAGGTATTCTGAGACGAGGAATGACCGTCGAGGGCTTGAAACAATTCATCATCGCACAAGGTAGTTCCAGATCTGTGGTCTTTATGGAGTGGGATAAAATATGGGCTTTTAACAAGAAAGTCATTGATCCTGTTGCAATCAGGTAATTGAAACGCAATTAAGAATTTTATAATAATAGCATGCAGATATTGATTTTTAAACCTGTTATTTGTATCTGTATTTATCTGTTATATTTTAGATATACTGCACTGGATTATGGAATGATACCAGTTAATGTAGTAGATGCCAAAGAAGAATGGTTGACGATACAAAATCATCCTAAAGATCCGTCCAAAGGTACCAAACGAGTACGAGTGGGCCCTAAGATATTGATAGAAAGGAAAGATGCCGAAAGTTTAACTGAAGGAAAGAATGCAACATTTATCAACTGGGGCAATTTAATGATACAGAAAATAAATAAACATGCCGAGAGTATAATAGATGTGGAGGCACGATTAAATTTGGAGGACAAAAATTACAGAAACACCATTAAAATTACGTGGTTGGCAGAATCATTACCCGAATCTGATGTAAATGCAGAAAAATCAAATCCAATAAAATGTTACGCCGTGTACTTCAATCACATTATGACGGTACCGGTTTTGGGCAAAGACGATGATTTTAAACACTTTGTTGCCAAGGATACAAGAGTAAATAACATTAACTAAAAGCAAGTAAACTGATCATACTGTATATCGCTAACGATACGTTGAAATTTTTATTTTAGAAAGAAATTCAGATGCTGGGTGAAGTGGAGTTAAAACGCGTAAAGAAGGGAGAGATAATTCAGCTTCAGAGAAAGGGATTTTTTATTTGTGATGTTCCATATGCACCAATCAGCCCTTATTCATCAAAAGAACAACCTGTTATATTATTCCATATACCTGATGGACATATGACGCCTGCTGTATCATCGTGCAATCAACAGGTAAAATTAGTACATCTTATTTTCTAATCAATTAATGTTATGAAATGTATGACATAAATTACGAAAAATAACATGCATATTAATTTGCAACTTATTTATAATCTTTGAAAGCATTAATAAAGGAGAAAATTTTCAGGAAAAACATATGATAAGCAATACAAAACCGGAAAGAAAAGAGGATTTAAAAGAAACAGTAGAAAAAATATCTGAAGAAATAAAGAAACAAGGAGACAAAATTCGAAATTTAAAAAGCTCAAACGCCGACAAGAGTATCCTTGATCAAGAAGTGAAAATTCTCTTGAACTTGAAAAGCGACTATAAAAATGCGACTGGTCAGGATTGGAAACCAACTGATGCTAATGCTAATAATACTAGTAATGCAAAGCCAGAAAACAAAGACAATTCAAAAGCAGATGAAATATCCGAAGAGATAAGAAAGCAAGGTGACAAAATACGAAATCTGAAAAGCTCGAAAGCCGAAAAGAATATCATTGATCAAGAAGTGAAAATTCTCTTAAACTTGAAAAGCGACTATAAAAATACAACTGGTCAGGATTGGAAACCAATTGATGCTAATGCTGCTAGTAATGCAAAGCCAGAAAACAAAGACAATTCAAAAGCAGATGAAATATCCGAAGAAATAACGAAACAAAGAGAAAAAACACGAAACCTAAAAAGCTTGAAAGCCGACAAGAGCATTATTGATCATGAAATGAAGGTTCTTTTAAGTTTGAAAAATGATTATAAAAGTATAACTGGTCAGGATTGGAAACCAATTGATGCTAAAATTAGTAATATAAAACCAGAAAATAAAGATAATTTAAACATAGAGAAAATATGTGAAAAAATAATTGATCAAAACGATACAGTGCGATATTTAAAGATTTTGAGAGCCGAGAAAAGCGTTATTGCCAAAGAAGAGAAAATTCTCTTGAGCTTGAAAAATGATTATAAAAATGCGACTGGTCGGAATTGGAAACTTCCAGACTCAGCACCACCAAAAAAAGAAAGCAGAATATTCTTAAATCCGGAAAAAAACCTCCGGAGAAAGAAGTGGCGAAAAACACAAATAGTAAAGATGAAGATACAAGTAAAACGGGGACGAGATTAGGTCTGGAAGCGAAAAAGGAGGAGAACTTTTTTGATTGGTACTCGCAAGTCATCACAAAGAGCGGAATGATCGAATATTACGATGTATCGGGATGTTATATCCTTCGCCCGTGGGCTTTCGCGATTTGGAAGATAATAAAGGAGTATATTGACAAGGAGATAACAGCACTCGGTGTTGAAGAATGCTACTTCCCGATTTTTGTTACCCGTGGTGTATTGGAAAAAGAAAAGGCACATATATCGGACTTTGCGCCAGAAGTAGCGTGGGTGACAAAATGTGGCGAGTCCGATCTGGCGGAGCCGATAGCTATACGGCCCACTTCAGAAACTGTTATGTATCCGGCTTATGCTAAATGGTTGAGATCAGACACCGAGTTACCACTTAGGCTCAATCAGTGGAACAACGTTGTGGTAAGTATTATCGTGGATTGAAAAAAGATTTCATGCAATTTAATTCCAGATACTCCAATTATTTTTACTTACAGAGATGGGAATTTAAAGATCCCAAACCTTTCTTACGTACTAGAGAATTTTTGTGGCAAGAGGGTCACACTGCGTTCGCAACGAAGGCGGAAGCGGAGGAGGAAGTATTGATCATCTTAGATATGTATGCCAGAGTTTACGAGGACCTGCTGGCGGTGCCTGTCATTAAAGGTCGCAAAACTGAAAAAGAAAAATTCGCAGGCGGCGATTACACCACCACCGTCGAAGCATTTATTTCGACTAATGGTCGTGCGATACAGGGAGCGACGAGCCATCACTTAGGACAAAACTTCTCAAAGATGTTTAACATCCAAGTAGAAGGTATTGCGGATGGAGATGAAAAGACATTTGTTTATCAGAATTCATGGGGTTTAACTACACGAACAATTGGAGTCATGATAATGGTTAGTACAATCATTATTGTCTTTTATAAATATATGAAAATGTCTATAATTATATATTCTGTAACGAATATGTGGATACATATTTAGGTGCACGGAGATGATCAAGGTTTAGTATTACCCCCAAATGTAGCATCTATACAAGCTGTTGTAATCCCCTGCGGTGTAACTGCAAATATGCCTGAGTCAAAGAAAAAGGAACTTCAAACCGAATGTGTTTCATTGGTCAATCAGTTGAGTAAAGAGGGTAAATTTAGAGTCAAGGGAGATTTTAGAAGTAATCGAACACCTGGATGGAAATACAATCACTGGGAGTTGAAAGGTGTACCAATAAGAATCGAATTGGGTCCTCGAGATATGGAAAGAAATCAAGTAATATTTGTTCGAAGGGATAATTCTGAACGAATAACTGTCAAGAGAAGTGATGTGATTACATCGTTAGCTTCCACGCTAACAGAAGTGCAAGATACATTATTATCAAAGTAAGTATTGTTCTGTTATTGTATGTAAAAAATTTTTGAATGATAAAATGACGACATATTTGATGATTTACTTGTTTATAGAGCAAGAACGAAGTTAAATGAGCATATTAAACGGGTAGAAAAGTGGAGCGATTTTTGTCTCGAACTTAATAAAAAAAATTTATTATTGTCGCCTTTCTGTGGTAAACCGGAATGTGAGGATAACATTAAAACGGATAGTGCAAGGTAAAATTTCCTTCTATACCAGTTTCCAGAAGCAATTTTTATCTATTTATCAATTATGAATTATTTTCTGTATGAATAATTTAAAAATCTAAATGTAAATTAGATTTGCTAGAAAAATATTTAAAATTATTTTTTAATATTGATATAATTATAGTATATAAAAAAATAATCATTTCTTTTCCATTTTATATAAATGTATGATTCAAACATTTATTACAGAGAGAACGTTAGTGATGAACCTGGAGCACTATCAATGGGCGCTAAGAGTCTTTGTATACCATTTGAACAGCCAAAATTAACAAAACCAATCGATGAATTAGAGTGTATTTATCCTACTTGTACGAACAAGCCGAAATTTTATACACTTTTCGGACGTAGCTACTAACCATTGATAAAAATGAAGTTTATTTATATATATATATATAAAACATATGCAAGAAGTTTTGAGATAGATTTTTATATGTGAGTAATGTTTATATATCTCATTTAAAATTATATAATTACATTATCTATTATTTTTAATTAATCATAAAAATACGATTTTTGTAACGTATGTATAAAAAATATTGTTCAATAATTATTCCTATATATTTCATAATATATATATAAATGTGTTTTAATGTTTATATCATTTTCGAAATCTTTGTTCATTTTAATTTAATTTTTATTTATTTTACCATCTCTTTATTTATGGATATAAAATTACATAACAAATTCGATTGAAAATGATCGTAGATAACTATATTTACAAAGCAGTTAAAACTTATCTTTTTTATAAAAAAAATGCAATTATCACACAATGAAATAGATAATACTCTTATAGAAAATTAACGGCATATACTTCTATATAAATAAACAGATATAAATTAATATGTATTTTTATAAAAACGAAGAATCAAAGTGAAAAGATGGCTCCAGCAATGAGAAGTGATCTGAAATTCACACAGGTCGATCTTGCGCGTTGATTGTTTCTCACTTCCAAGTATAATGGCTGCACTCGATTGAGACGCGGATCCTTACCTTTCTCCCGTCGCATACCAGGCACAAGCTGGTCCTGGACTTGTCCAAAATTCTAGTGTTCGCAGCCGCCTCAAATGACCGAACGGCTTTGTCGCCGGTAGCGTAGATGTAGCAGCGAGATACCATTTTGTTGTGATACTCGGTGATGCTTCGGATATCGCGAAAATCGCGTCAACGGAAATTACCACCAAGGCCAAAGAATAAATACACGCGTAAATACACGTGTAAAACGAAGAGAGCGAGATAGAGAAATTTCCAGTGAATCCTGTAAGCGTTTTCTACGCGCGTGTCGAGACGAGAAGACGATCGAAAAGTCGACTACCCGTCATCGGGTGGAGAGGGCCAGTGATGAAGGATCGATGAAGGATCATTGGCATGGCCACACGACTCAGCCCCCGAAATTCGGAGGTGAACGCTCTTGAGCAGCGAGGCTATCTCATAGGCAAGAAGATTGGACAGGTTGTTTTCCTCTTCATTCTTCATTTACTTGTTTTAACACCTCGCTATTTTTTCTTTTTATCTTTCCTTTTCTTGCTTCATTTCCGCTTCATTTCCGCAGCAGCACTTCCTTTTAATTTATCGGGCTATCACTTAACCTTCCGATTGTTTCCTAATTTATTATTACAGGCTCCACGAAGAATCAAATTAAATAAAAAGTATGAGAGAACGTTTATGCTTGAAATCAGATCTGTCTTTTTTCATTCTTTCGAATTTTTGAGGAGTCGTATCTTGGTGGTCGCTCGATGCATTTGCTGCTTTTATTGATCGATTGTTGAGATGTTACGACTTCAAATTCTACGTTTTATAATACGCGGGATCATCATTTTCAGGGCTCTTACGCGACTGTCCATCTGGCAGAATATATCGATGGAACGAATTCCAAGAAGATGCGTCTGGCTTGTAAGATCTTTGATAAAGAAAAAGCGCCACACGACTTCTTGGACAAATTCTTTCCTCGCGAACTTGAAATTTTAACAAAGATAGAAAATCCGCATATCATTCAAGTAAGACATCGGAAAAACAATCATCTATTCGTCTTTGATGAGGAGCAATATCGAAAAACTCTCATGTTACGTTTCTCTTTTTCTCTTTTTTTTTTTTTTTTTTTTCTTAAAATTAACTGATTAATAATTTACTTTCAAACGAGTAAATCGTTCTCGTTATTTAATATATTTTGCTCAATTCTAATCGCAATCAACCGATCGAGCGCAGGTGCACAGCATCTTGCAGCGCGGTCCGCGCGTCTTCATCTTCATGCGCTATGCCGACAACGGCGATCTCCTGGACTTCGTGAAGAGCAACGGCATAGTGCCGGAGCAACAGTCGCGACTCTGGTTTCGTCAAATGGCGTCCGGCTTGCACTATCTGCATAGCAAGAACATTGCCCATCGGGATCTCAAGTGTGAGAACATTCTACTCTCGCGGAAGTTCAATGTGAAATTGGCGGACTTCGGTTTTGCCAGGTTTTGCGTGGACCACGAGGGCAGGCGGGTCCTCAGCCAGACATACTGCGGCTCGGCGGCTTATGCCGCGCCGGAAGTCGTCGCCGGCACCCCGTACAATCCGAAATTGGCGGACGTGTGGTCGCTCGGCATCATCCTTTTCATCATGCTGAACGCGACCATGCCGTTCGACGACGCAAATCTACGTAAACTCCTCAAGAATCAGATGTCGCGCAACTGGGTATTCAGATCCCGCGTTCGCGACACCGTGTCCGCGTTGGCGAAGAATATCGTCCGGCAGATCCTCGAGCCGGACATTACTCTCAGGCTCACTCTTGAAAGGGTGCTGGGCCACGAATGGGTGAGAGCGAAAAAGGATAGAACAGGCTCCCTTACCGGAAGGCTCGTCCACTCAGCGCCGCCGAGTCATACTCCGGTTATTACGATACACAACATTAATCATATTATTCTATTCAAGATCCCTGGTTCTCCAGTCACAGTAGAATAAGGATAGAA